CGTTGAGCTCAAGGGCCTGGGTGTTGCGGGGAGGAGACAGCCAGAAACGGGGTTGCAACGCACCCCGCTGCGGCTGGTACTACAGCCAGCCCCACGCGCGCGCGCAGAGAAGCTTCACCGAAGCTCCCTGTGCTGCATGCTTTACCTCTGCATGTACTTGTGGAGCGTTTGTAAGCGTTTACAAGAAACGCGCCAGCACCAGGTGAAAGCGGCTGCGCTAACTCATGCTACAAACAACACCCTCTTTCTGTCCCTTGCATGAACATCTGTTTGTATTTTCATTACTTCCGTTTTAATTTGTTCTGCTGCAACGCTCAAATTCTCTTCCTGTGTAGGGTTTAGGGCTTCGTGTTTTAGTGTTTTGCATTACTATTTGTTTCAGTTTATGTTGCCTACTTGTATGGCTGTCGTTTACTGCTACTGATCCTGCGGTGCCTGCTGCAGTATTATTCTTTTCTTTTTCTATTTCTATTCCTTCACTTCATCTTCTCTCTGTTAATATTTCTGTTCATATTTTCTAGTCGGCGTAACAAATAGCAGTTCATCTTTTTGTTTGTCGCCCAGCCAGCATGGCTCCTCCCGTTAAAAGCTGAATATATTTTCCTTCTTTCTAGCCGGCGTAACAAATAGCAGTTCATCATTTTTTTAAATTATTTCTCTCTCTGTTCCCTTCATTTCATTTCTAGTCCACCTGTTGAGTTTCTGTTGGGTATATAAACCCGTAGTGTCAGTGCATACTCTCAAATGTTACAAAGAGGAATGGAAGCTCCTAGTGCAGCAGCAGCAGCAGCAGCAGCTAATTTGTATTGCTGCTGCTGCAGCACCAGCTACTTCCTATTGCTGATGCTGCAGCACCAGCCAGACGTCACCGCTGTTGCAGCTCCGTGTCTCTTCCTACTAAGCAACCGCCCTCACCAGACCTATTTTCTCTATTTCCTAATTTATTTTGTTCGTCTGCTAATACACTATGAAGTATAGATGCGTAATATATTAATAAATAATATATATTGCTGCCTCC